GTGTCTTCCCCAAAGAATTAAAAGAATCATACCACAGTGATATATGTGCACCCATGTTTATAGTGGCACAGTTTGTAATAGCTAAAGCTTGGAAACAGCTCAAGTGCCCATAGACTGGAAACTGGATAAAGAAGATGTGGTTTTTTTATAAAATGGAGTACTACACAGCCATAAAGAACAAGAAACTAGAGACATTTATAGCTCAATGGATGCAATTGAGGCCATATTCTTAAGTGAAATAAATAGGACACACATGTGTAAATACCGAATAGTTTCTCTAATGTGAGAAACTGAAAGTGTAAATAAGGATTAAAATGATTAAAATGAATAACTGATAATCTGAAATAGGAAGAAAAGGTCCAAAGGGGTAGGGGTGATGGGAGGGGAAGGGGAAAGGAAAGAAGGGAAAGGAAATATTATGAGAAAGAAAAAAAATGGAAACGAAATCTTTGTAAATAGGGAAAGGTGCACAGGGAACGGGGAAGAAATAAGAACCAAGATACATCACGTTCAGGTACAAGCACCCAGTGATAAATGTAAACGTATCGTGTACCTAAAATGTACCAATAAAAGAACTTAAGGAAAAAAAATACAAATACAAGTGGAAAAAAATTTGTAGCTTATTGGTTTGCATATATTGCTTTTCTGAGGCAGCAGCAGAGCTAGGCAGTTTGGAGAGGTGATGTGAGCAGAAAAGCCTCAAATTTACTCTCTGGCCCTTTTTTCTCCAACCTTGGCTGCCTCCAGAGGGCACTGCGAGGCTGCTGAAGCTGCTGCCAGACTGTAGGGTGCAGGCCCAGCCAGGGCCCAAGTTACTGCTACAGCTCAGTGTGTTGATTCAATATTTACCGTTAGGCAGGAAGCGGATCTCATTTCTGTAGAAACTCAAGTTGGGCATGTCCCCATTGGAGTCTCGTTCCACCAAATCCTAGAGAGCCAGAGAAAGAGGATTGAGGGACTCATCAGAAAACGGCTGTCTCTGAGTGCCTCTCGGACTCCAAATTCCGGGGAGCAGGTGTGTGCAAACCCCTGGGTCTCCCAAAGCTGACCCAAGACCCCAAAACCCAGCCTGGGCCCCTCAGTCTGCAGGTGAGGGCAAGCGGGGGTGGGGGGTTAGCGCCACCTGCACCTCCTCACCAAGGCTGGCCAGGGCTGGGGTGCTCCTGCCTCTGCACCTCCAAGCAAGCCCAGGCCTGCCTGAGATTCATGGGTACAGAGTGTGGGCCGAGGGTGACCCTCCACCCTTGCCAGACCTGCACACCTGCATCAGAAGGCTGGTGCTGGTACCGTGTTAAAGGCCAGAAGGCAGGGGCTCTGAGGCAGAGGAACACACTCTGATCAACCCGCCATTAAGGGAAGGGCAGGGATCTGAATCCACACCAGGCCCGTGCTCTGGACAAGGGACACATTCCAGAATCCCACCCAAGGCGGGATTCTGGTCGGACAGCAGACATTCTGAAAGAGGCTCTGATGGGAGGGTTTTTGTGTCTCAGGGTGCTGAGGAGGCGGCAGAGGGCTGTGGATACCTACCGGGTAGTGGTGCCGGTATCGGCACATGTCCTGCATGGCTCGCCAGTTGCGGGTCCCTGTCATCCTGGACTGGGAAGAGAAGAAAAGGATGAGACTCCCACAGAGACTCTCCCAGTCGCGGCCTGGGTCAGCTGGCAAGGAGCTGTCTTTAAGAGGAGTGGATGTTTTTCATGGTTCCTCCATTCCCCCAGCCTGGCCGCCCAGTGGGTGGATCTGGACCCTCGTGAAGTGTCCCAACCCTGCCCAGTACCAGAAGCAGCTGTGGCTGAAGCCACATATTTACCTGGCCATTCCTACCTCAGGTGTGCAGGGCCCAGACCGAGGTGCACACTTCTCAGAGTATCCACCAACAGTCTCCTGTCCCCAAGCTGCAGCTCTGCCTCCTCTCCCCAGGTTTCGGGGTCACCCTCACTTTGGTCACGGCCCAGCCCCTTACATCCCCTAGGATCCGCTAAGCCCTCAGTACTTCTTACACTATGCTCTAACTCGGCACCATCTGTGTCCCCAGGGCAGCCACACTGCCACCTACGGCTCCAGAAGGGGACCAGATGCTCTGGCTGGGTCTGATTCCCTGCCCAACCCTGTCTCCTTCGGCCAGGTGTGATAGAGATGACAGGCCCAATGGCCTGGCTTTCAGCAGGATCAGGGGCTCCTTGTTGCCCCAAACCCTTCAGACCCCACTCAGCAGGTACAGCACCTGGAGGTCCAGGGCAGGATCACAGGCAACTAGTGACAAGAATGCTAGAGAAGCCCAGGCCTGCCCCTGCTCTGTGAGAGCACCCTGCCGCGGTGGCTGGAGGATGACAGACCCGGGAAGCACACAAGAGAATGGCTTCTCCTGTCCAGGGAAACAACTGGCTCCTGGGACAAGGGAGCCCCAGGAGGAACAGGAGCCCAGGCCCCCATCCTCGCTCTGAGCCCTTCCCACCTCCAATCCCTAACCAGATGGGACTCCAGTCAGGGTCTGGACTTGTCTCCTCCTGATGGCTAAGTCAGGGCCAGTTAAAGAGGAAACCAAAACTTGGCAGAAGCCGACCCCGCCCCTCCAACCTTCCCCTTTCCCTGGGTGAGAGGATGGCCAGCAGCAGCCGGCACGGCTGGGAGCAGGGCCAGGCAACAGGTGCACGCTTGACAAGGCCCAGAACTGAAACAGCCTCTTCAGGGTCCCACCAGGGCCGCAGGGGAGGCTGAGGGGGCCAGCGGTGGAAGGGACCGAAGTGCCCCCAACTCACCAGCAGGAGACAGAGGGAAAGGACCAGAGATCACAGGCACCTTGTAGTCAAGGCCTGATACTGCTTCCAGAGCATGGCTGATGAACAACAGCCGAGAGGCTTCACCTCACATCAGAGCCCCCTGGCGGGCACAGGCACAGCCCAAGCCTACCTGTGACCCTGGCCCCTGCCCACCTGATGCCCATCCCGAAGCTCCTGAGCTGGCCTGCAGCACTGCAGGTATGGTGGAGGCACAGGGCAGCGCTGGGCTTCCGGGTAGGCTCAAGAGCCCCTCCATGTCCCCTGGCCACTCCACTGACCACTCCACAAGGAGATAAACAGGAAACCAGTGGTCTCTGCCACGGGAAAATCCACCCTGGAAAGCGTAGGCCAAGATCCCAGACTTTCTGCCCCCGACTCCGTCCCAGGACCCCCAGCTTCACAAAACTTCTAACGGACTAACTGCTGGCAACAAAAGTAGCCCCAGGAAAGACAAACACCAGTGCAACAGAAGTAACCAGTGGCAGGGCCTCCGCCCGGTCGTCACGCGAGGGAAGCCTTCCAGGCCCCGGTCCAGGGCGCCCCGGGCTCAGCCCTCGCCTGGGGGGTGGGCGCGGCAACCCACGGGGGGGGGGGGGGGGGAGACGAGCCTTCCAGCCCCGCCAAGAGGGAGGTAGTCGACTCTTAAGAGGTTGGATGCCGGAAACGCGTGACCAGAGGGGGCGTGGGTGGGATCTACTTAGATGACAGCCACCAGGGCTGGATGTAGGACGTGACAAAGACAAGCGAGGATGTGCTCGAGGCACCCTGAAAAATGCCGCCCACGCTGGAACGCAGCCCTCGGGGGCGCTGGGCTGCCGTCACCCACGCAGGCCCTCAGCCCTCGGCGGCCAGGGCGGCCTCGGGCCCGCGTCGGCGGCCTCCGGCCTGCGAGCCCTCCGCGCCCACCTGGAGCGAGCCCGGCCAGGCCGCCCGCGGGCCCTCGTCCTCGTCCACGTCCTCGTCCGCGCCCTCGTCCGCGTTGCTCGCGTCGCCCGCGTCGCCCGCGTCGCCCGCGTCGACCGCGCTGGCCTCCGCGCCGTCCTCCGCCGCTTCGTCCTCCTCCCAAGTGGAGTCGCAGTCCGGGTCGTCCATGCTCAGAGGGCGGTAGCTCCGCTCGCAGCGGAAGCGAAAGCGAAAGAAGAGGAAGCGCGGGGCGGGGAGGGGCGGGGCGGGGGCGGGGTGGCTTCAGACTCCGCCCGCGTCCGCAGCTGAAGATGACCCCGGGTAGGCCGGGTTGCATCCGGGTGCAGCCCCTCGGAGCACCCCACCCTGTCGCGCCCGCGGAGGGACGACCTCGCGAGAATAGTTCTTCCTCCCTAGAAGGGATCCCTTTCTCCCCCCCCCCCGCCCCGCTTCCTCCCCCTGGGGGCGCTGTCAGCTTCCCAGGGCTGCTGGGGGTGCCTCCCCAGTCCAGTCTGGGCCTTGCTTCTCCAGGGCCGTCATGTGCGGTGTCACGGGAGGCCTGGTGGGCGTGGGAGAACATCCCTCACCCTGGCAGTGTCTCGGTTACCCATGAGGGCAGTCAGGGGTTCCACACTCACAGGGAGGGAGCACCCCGTCTTGGAGGCCAGGAGGCAGGGGATAGTCCAACACAGGCGGAGAGGAGTGGAGCGGGTCCTGGGGCGCCCCGGGGGCCGGAGGTGGCCGCCCTCTGTCCACGCTGCAGACTGAACAGCCGGAAATCAGCCAGCTGCAGTTTCCCAGCAATGGTGGGACCCTTGCTTCACCTGCATCTGCGGAGGGGCCACCTGGAAACTATCGTGCCACCCTCTTGTTTCCAAAATCCTAGGTGAAGCTCAGATCTGAACCTTGGGTTTGGCCATAACTGCTGGGGACCTGCGTTCTGCGTGAAGGGAAGGCCAGCCCAGCCCCACTGGGATGCTCGACGCCTGTGAGGGCCAGTGGCACTGTGAACTGAATACAGCCAGTCAGGTGTAGCCATGGGAACACTGTAAGGCCTTTCTGTGTGCTGGCCCCTGGCCTTGGTGACCTCTTTTGCACTGGGGATCCAACTCAGGACCTTGTGCTTGAGAGGCAGGCGGCGGCACCACTGAGCTACACCCTGGCCCTTGCTGACATCTTGTCCTGTAACACTCTCTCCTGATGGGCACCTGGCCCGTGCTGCCTTATGTTCTAAAAGGTCAGCAGTGAAGCCCTGGAGCTACAGGGCTCTGGACAGGCCTGCAAGTTGCACCCTGCAGCAGTAAGTGTGGCCTTGTTATGTGAATGAAACCTGGACCTGAGTGTACCGTCATGTGTACCAGGAGCTTCCAGCGGGCGTCAAGGGTGTGACAGCTGTTCAGGGTCTGGCTGGTCTGGGAGCACTTGGGTGGAAGGCTGCCCTGCCACTGCCCAGAAAGTGGCAAGACAGTCGTACTGTGTGCTGACAAGACCTCTCTCAGGGGACAGCACCCCCTGCTGCCTGCCGCCAGTACAGCTGCTACAGAACCAGGTTCTGAGTTGTTTCTAAGGCATCGCGCAGCCTTTTACAAACATAACCGAACCAAGGTGCACATTACCTGTCCTTGGGTATGTTTTGTGCAGAACTCGTCTCCGGGGAGCCCCTGTCTCAGCGTTGAGAATTCCTCAGCACTCTGGCGGTGCCCAGGGTGGCTCGGCTTTCCAGATGGTTCTGCTGCCCTTGCTGGGAGGGGCCCTGGGAAGGGTCACACATGTCGCTCCCAGTCATGCAGGAAAGGAGTCATCTTTGCACATGATTGCTTGTGGCTGAGCCCAAGAGTGGTGGAGGTGAGCTCAGGTTAGAAGTGCCTGGGCATTTCCTTCAGACTGAAACAGCTGCATTCTCGAGCCACATTATTTGGCCCAAGGATGTCCTGCCCCAGTTCTGGAAGCTGTTATTGCTCATGCTGTTTGATTCCTGCTGTGGGGGAGAAGTGGAGGCAACTGTCCCTTCCAGATGGCCCCTGGAGCAGACTGGGAGAGGGGAAGCCATACCCACCTGATACTGAATACCCACTCTGAGTGGAAATGATTGTCCCCTACCAGGAAGATGTCTTCATGGTCCCGGGTGTCTCTGGCACAATAAAGTGCCTCTACTGAGATTTTCAGTCTCAGCATTAACAATGGCTTTCAACAATTAACACCTTTCAAGTATGAATTGCACAACTGCTTCTCTTTGTTCTATAGCCAGTGGCATTCCTTCTTAGCAATAGGTTTGGTGGGGTACACATAAACCTCTGAATTCCAGATCTTGCCCCCAGGCCAGGAGAGTGAGTACAGGTCCTGATGGGCTCCAGCTCACACTACTCAGTGTTCGTGAATTCTACTTGGTCAACCTTATATTCTAGCACAGCAAGACCTTTACCGCCCTACAGGGATGTCAAGCTGGAATGTCTATGTCCAACCACGTGGACCTCTCAGGAAATGTGGCCAGATGGGGTGCTGGGACGGTGGGGTATGCCTGCTGCTAGTCAGGCAGGAGACGGTGCAATAACTGAACAAGGCAGATCTGACTTGTTGACTGGGCTTTCCCAGCATGTTCTGAGTCCCTGGAGATGCTGCTTCAGATGTGGGTGTAGAATAGTGAGCCTGGCTGGAGTGTGCCCTTCCTAGTTATCCCATGCCACCCCTCATGGTCACCATCTGCTCCCCATTTCCCCTACTTATTCTGGACTCCTCGAAGCCAGGCTTCTATCATGGACCATGAGTCCAGCAGCCAGACCAGGCACAGAAATAGGCATTGAGTAAGGGCCAACCCTCAAGGAGAGGTCATGCAGCAGCAGACACTGCACAAGGGAGACCCTGCCCTTGGACAGGCCTAGAGTGGCCTCCACCCAGCTGGTTCCCAGACCTTGCTGCAGTGCTGACCACCCTGCTGTCCCTCCTGGACAGGTGGTCTGACTGCAGGTGTGTAACTGGGGTGAGCAAGGAGTTCACTGAGAAGTTCACTGGGACTTCATCTCGGACAGGGCAGGGTTCTATCTTCAGCTCCCACTGCATGTGGCAGGGTGTGACCCACAGTGTGGATCTGTTTAGGCTCTACAGAAGGCTAGACCCATGGTCTAGTCCCGGAGTACGGAAGGGAAGGCTGGGAGACTGGCAGCTTCCCAGGATGAAATCCTTCGTGTCCCGCAGGATGCTGTCGGGAAGCCAGACCCAGTGTTACGTTGAAGGGTGCTCGAGTGAAGGCTGCAGGCTGCGTAGGGCTCCTCATTTCTCGCTGCTCAGGTCTCCGAAGATGGCAGGATGACCAACCAGGGCAGTGAGGTCTGGCCGATGAGCATGTCTCCTCACAGTGGCAGGACTTGGCTTAGTGAATGGCCAGCAGTCTCAGGCCCAGTGCCCAGAAAGCAGTGCACAGGGGGCAGCATCTGGTGCCCCGGGCACTGGGGTCTTTCTTCTCTCCCTTGTGCAGTTTCAAGTGCTTGTCGGGTTCAACAAAGTAACCACACAGGCCTGTTACTGTTTTGCACATTGTAGCAGGTTATGTTACATTGTCTAAGTGGGCTCTTCAGTTACATCAATGAAACTTCCCACTGCATAAAAAGCTAACCTATTTTGATATCAAAAGCACATGACTCCAGGTTGACTTTTTTTGTGCTTTAATGTTCGAAGCCAAATGAAGTGTACCCCAGGCGACACTGGGGCCACCACCGCCCCAGCCCAATGGTTGTGCTTTCTCCTCCACTCCCTCATTTGGTCTTTTCACAAGTCACTGGAATTACAAAAATAACCACTACAAATTCTCTGTATCTGGCATATAAAAACTGAGCAAAAAGTATCTCAGTAGTTGTTACCTTGAAACAAAACATCTCAGAAAAAATACAACAGGTTTAACTTCTGCAGTATTTTTGCTCATATAAAACACTAGTATAAAATAGGCTTCTTAAAAATTAAATAGTGAAATACCAACCAAATTATATACATCATTACAGTACGAGTGAATGAGGCAGAATATCCAGTCCTTAGGTTCTCAGTTGGGGGTGTCCACCAAGACAAGTAAGGTGATGTCCTGGGCCACATTCTCCTGATGTCCCCGTCAGGGCAGAGGGGAGCCTTAGAGGGCCAAACAAATGCAGAGTGGGCATCCAGGAAACACCAGTGGCTCATCTGAGGACCAAGTGGACATGCTGTTTTATTGCTTGCTGATTCAAGTCTTCTCCTGGCCCCGGGCCCCATTCTCCTCCATGAGGCGGGCACAGGTGGACACCCTGGGATGAGGCAGAATGTGGACTCTGCTGCCTCAACATCCAAGCTGGGTTGACCCCGGTCTTTCAGGTCCATGAGTCCACCGGTGGTCTGACAACATGATGGAAACCTCCATGCATGTCCCTGCTAGATGAACACGTTTGCCGAGGGCCTGAGGTCAGGCAGCAGTAGCCGGAAGCATCAGGATGATTCTGCTGCCCCCCTGGGGATGAGATGTCTATGTCCGGCGCCGCTTGGCAGCACTGGGGCTAGAGGGGTTACTGTTTGCTGTCAGCACTTTGTCGGTGACCCGGCTACGCTTCCGCTTGTCTGCCCCTTCTTTGCACCCCAAGTCTGAAGAGTTCTTCTCTTTGTCTTTGCTGGATTTTTCTGTTGCTTTCCCCAAGCTCCCTGAAGATGAAAAAACTGAGAAACAAAATCATTTTGCTGAAAACAGAATATTCAGAATCTGTTTATCTTCCTGTTCAGTTAGAAAAACCAGAATTTATGCACATGACCCCCTGAACACAACAGGACTCCTCCTGGGTGGGGGACCCTGACACATGGGCCTGATCCTCTTGAGGGCTCGGGGTGTCACATGCTCAGGCTTCCAGGCTCTGCCGGGACGTCAAATGAGGGGGCAGCTGAGCACCTGGCTCCTTGCACAGGCTGTCAGGGGTCCTGCACTGAGGACCCGCACCGTGCCGGCCTCTAACTGGAGCCTCCACCTTGCACTTTATGGCCACCTGACCCTGCCCTGCATGTGGGAGGCCTTTCTGGCTGTGGAGACGGTGCTGTGGCCCAAAGGGCACCGGAGGGTGAGCAGCTCCACACTTACCATCGTCAGCCCCATTGTGGGGGTCCACGTCTTCCTTCATCTCCTCTTTCATTTCCTCCTCGATGGTCACTTTTCCTGTGGAGGAGACGGCTGACGTTCACTGGAAGCCCTCGGTGATGGCCAGCACTGGGGACGGTCAGGTCAGCACTGCCCAACTCTTGCTGCCCACACAGGTCTTGGTGTCTCGAACAAAGTCCTCCCCACCCTGCAGGTTCCCAAGACCTCCCATGTACAGGTAGAGGTGGGGCCTGAGCAGGACCCTCACACCTCCCCGAAAGTCCCTGACCTCCACCCTGACCGCCCCACTGCTGGCCGAGGTCTGGCCTTTGGTATTCCCAGACCTGACCTCATCCAAGCCTCACCTTCTCGGACCTCTTGAATGATCTCTTCAGGAAGGACGAAGTTCCTTTCTGGATTCGGGAAGGGAAGAATCTCAGACTCATGCTAAGGAAGAGCAGAGCATTTTGTATTCAAACGAAACAAAGGAAATGTGACATTAGCAGGTCACTAAAGACATATGGAGGTAGCTAGTGAGCAGTGGGTGAGCACCACAACTACTGCAGGCTGCGAGTGGGTGGCACTCAGGGTGAAGGCCCTTCTTCCTTCCACCTGCAGTGTCCACCATGGCTGGGCTTTCTGGTCACACAGGAAGGACTAGACTAGCCAGATGGGCTAGCACCACTGAGGACTGAGGATACAGCAGCCTGTTGGCACACACTAAAGCGTGGCTCACCACTACGGCCTTCTCAGCAGGAGACTGCTTTCCCAAAGGGTGTCCAGCAAGCGGTGACACTGAGGAAAGCTCACAGGTGCCTCTTGTTCCTGTCCACGTGGCAGGAGCCCACAGACCCTGAGGGCATCAGCAGAAAAAGCCACGTGCATGGAGAGCCGACAAGGAAGGCAAGGCAAATGCAGCAAGGTCACCAAGGCTGACTGGGGTTCCTCAGGTCACACAGATTAGAGGGCATTGGACCACTGAACCACAGAAGACTGAGCTGGCAGGAAGAGCCCCTGGGCTGGGAGGGGATCAGGTGACAGGGGTTCTATCAGCAGCCTGGATGCTGCACAAAGCCAGGCAGTACCTGTCAAGGTGCTGTACACCAGAGGAGGGGACAGTCTGGTCTTGCAGGCCACTGTGCCCTCTGAGCCAGCACCTGTGCCTGTCTCAGGCTTTGGCACTGTCTCTCTGTCTTCCCCAAAGACAAGCACAGTGCTGCACTGATCTCTCTGAATCTTAGTACAGGAAGTGTCTGAAAACCAGTGCCCACAAATGACCCCACAAAATGTTAAGCCACTAGCCAGGGGAGTCAAGACAGTGGGCTTCTGACACTGCAGGCAGTGCCCAGGAATCAGCACCTGACTGATGCAATGTACAGTCAGGAGCGAGCATGATCCAGGATATGCAGTTTAGCAATTTGGGGCATCTGGGTTACCAAGTGCTGGTAACCCAGTGCCAACCCCACAGAATGTCCTCAACATGGGTTCCAATTCTCTCTGCCCTTTTTCTAGAGCTATGAGAGAGGGATGCACAGGGTTTGCCCGAGGGAAAGTGTTGTCAAACTCGTACCCAGGTCCAAACAGGAGGACTAGTGTGGCTCCAGGTCCAGGAAGAGGTGCAGACTCTGCTTCCACCAGCACTCCTCTTCTGGGCACGTGGCTCCCAGCCCCAGCTCACACCCCAGGAACACTCACTCTGACTTTCTGGACCTACCACCCTCTGCTGCCACAGGTCTGTGACATCTGCCCTTTTTCTGCCAGGAACATCCACTTTTTTCTCCCCGACACCTCGATGACCTAGTTAACCTGCTCACTTATCAGACACTAACAGCCCTCCTGGCCAACCTGGTTATCTAGTTAACCTGCTTACCAATCAGACACTGTTAGCTCTGAGCTCGGTGAAGACAGGGCCTTTATCTGTCTGGCTCCCACTGAAGCTGCTTTACCTTACAATGATGCAGGTAAGGTTGCCCTCTACCTACACTTCTGGGTCACCCAAACACTGACAACCAGGGGCCTGTGCCTCTGTATCCCCACTTGTCCCTGTAGTGGGTGGCTTTCCCCAGGGTCTCAGATTCCCAGTTACTCCCTGGAGACTTCTGCTGACTGCCCAATCTAAAGTAGGGTTCCTGAAAAAGCAACCAGCTACCCTCACTAGGTTGGTGCTTTTCATAGCACTGCTGAGCTCTCTCATTAATGACTTGTTGTGAGAACCAGGACTCATGTGTTGGGCCACCTGCAGCTCTGCCCAGCAAACCCCCATATGCCCAGTAGTGGGCATGCTCCAGCCCACTGGCTCTGACCTTTGGAGTACAGGGTGTGGGGCCTCCTGTCTCCCCAACGCACCCCAAGACTGGGGGAGTAGGAGTGCAGCTCACCAGTGCCTGCATGTCATACATAGTGCTCAGATGGTCCCAGATGACCTTGGACGGAACCTGTCGCCCAATATTCTGGCTGAACTTGTCCCGGATACAGATCATGTGGAAGTGCCGGTTCACACCTGTGGGAGGAGGGGCAGGACAGCAGGTGAAGGGGTGGGAGAGGGAGGGGAGGAGGCAGGGACTGTGCTCAGCCCGGGGAATGATCGGGTGAGGCAGGCCTGGTGCAGTAGGGTGTGGGGTGCAAGACACGGGCGCCAGGGCGGGGGTAGTGACAGGAGGGGGAGGCCTACAGGACAGGCCAAGCGGGGGACAGGAATAGCGGGAGTGATGGGGGAGGGCAAGGGTGGGGGATGTTAAGGGATGCGACGTGCAGGGAGCGGGGGTGTGGGGAGGAGTGCAGGAGTCCGTGGGTGTGGGGACACTGAAAGGAGCAAGGGCATCTCCGGGCTTAGGGAGGGCAAGGGCGTCCAAGATGTGGGGTCACGAGAGCAGAAAAGGCAGGGCCGCCTCGAGGCGGCGGGTCGCAGGCCAGGCAGTCTGGGGGCGTCCGGCGCCGGCACAGGCCCCGCCCCGCCCCGCCGGTTGCGGCCGCCCCGCCCCCACGCGGGTCCGCGGCCGGCGCTCACCGACGGGCTTGTGGCCCAGCATGGCGTGGAAGAGGCACACCTCCACCTCGGGGCTCCACACCACCGTCTCCTCCGCCGGGCTCGTGGCCGCTTCCCCCGGCCCCTTGTCGCCAGCGGCACCCCCGCCGCCCACCTCGGCCTCCCCCATGGCCGCCGGCGAGCGACGAGCGCCCAGCGCGAGCCGGCGCGGCCACGAGCTCCGCGCAGGCGCACTTGCAGGCCAGCGGGAGCGCGCTCGGCGTTGGCGCAGGCGCGACGAAGGATTGGCCTCCGGCGTGTGCCCGCTGCGCCCCCTGGCGGCGCATCCCACCCGCCGGACGATTCCCTCCTTCGCGGGGCGGGCGGCGGTGCCTCGCGAGTACTTAAAAAAGTATTAAAGCACAATTTGAAAAAACCTGCATCAAAACAGCAAACTAAAAAACTTTATGCGTCAAAGGACACTACCCACTAAGTGGGAGGAAATACTTTCAAATCATAAGGAACTTGTAGCCAGAATACATAAAGTCCTCCAAAGAATCCAGACACGTAATACATGAGTTTGCTGGAAGCCTCCAGGGTGCGCAGATGGTCACTAGGCCTGCGGGCCCGGTCCCGGGGGAAGCGGGTGGACGTGGGTGGCGACTGCGGGGAGGTCCCATTCCAGGTGCCTGGTGATGCGTGCTCGACAGGCTGCGGCCGTGGAGCCCTATCTGGTCAGTCGTGAACATGCCCACGGCCCCTCAATGGACTTGTTTAAACCCGGACAACTGACAGTTCCGGCAGGAGCAGGCGCGCGGGCCCTGGACGAGCCCAAAGTTGAAGCCCCTGGGCCAGGGGCGAGGGCTCTAGGACCTGTGCCGCTGGCCTCCGCTTCCGCGCCTGCGCCTCGGCGCTCTGGGGGATGCGGCCGTCGGGGGTCGACGCCGCGCGAGCTCAGGCAGGTGTGACGCCAGGGTGGGCGGGGCAGAGGTGGGGGCCGAGGTGGGCGGGGCCGGGAGGGGCGGGGCGGTCCTGCTCAGTCCCGCGGAATTCACAGCCGCTCCCGGCCCCGCCCCTTAGCCGCCTTTTCCCGGGGCCACGGCCGCCGAGGGCGCTCGGCGGAGCTGCGCGGGAGACTTGACCTTCAACAATGTGTACCAACTCCCCGCGACAAATGTAGTCATTATGCACCTCACATATGTACTAGTAAAAAAAATTTAAAACATTCTGAAGAGACATTTCAGGCAAACACTGTGGAGACTTTATTTGAATCCTCGTCCAAATAAACAAAGTGGATGAAAAGCTTGCATTATGTCTGCTTTACACTTAGCAGGTCTTAGGTTTGAGTCCCAGTGAAACTATGGCTGGGAAGTAACATTCAGCTGTGCATTGTGGCGCAAACATGTCATCCCAGCACCCTGGGAGGCCGAGGCAGGAAGACTGCAAGCTTGAACCAGCCAGGGCAGTTAAGCAAGACCCTATCTCAGCATGATTTTTAAGAGCCAGGTAATGTAGCTCGGTGTGAGGCCCTAGGTTCCAGCTCCAGTACTACAAAAACAAAGCAACAGCAGCTCATGTGGACTCTAGGGTCCTGCCTCCTGGTCTTCATGCCTCCTGGTCTCTTGTCTGGCTCTTCGGCCCCCAGCGGTGTGAGCCAGCAAGGTAGGGCCGTGGGCCTCTGCCCTTTCTTAGGCAGGGGCTGACAGCAGCCCAGTGCTACTGGGCTCTGATGAGGGCTGGCCGGCTCCTTGCCCTGGCCACTCCTTGGGTCTCTAGCAGCTGGAAGTGCTGGCCCTCGGCAGGCGCTGGCTCCACTCAACCTCCCTCCGAATGGCTCAGGGACTCAGGACCAACTGGGCAGGCTGCCAGACTCCTTCTCACGGTGCCAGGGCAGAGGCAGGGCCCAGTGTAGCTTTCTTAGGGGCCCAGAGCAGAGCTGCAGTGTGGTGTGCCTCGTCCCTGCTCGTTCTGACCACAGCTGGACCTGGTTCCTGCCCTCCACTGCCCAGCATGAGGGACTTGCCCAGGCCAGGACTAAGTACAGCCCACAGCTTCTCAGCCAGGCGTGCACTGCCGGCGGGGTCCGGGAGGCCCTCCCCATTACTCTCTTGCTGTTTCCTGGGCACTGCTGGGCCTGCCCTGAGCTGGACAGGGCTCTGTGCCACCCCCACTGCCTCTGCAGGTGCGGTGCCCTGTCTAAGAGCCTCCTCCCGCCGAGAGCTTCCCTCAGCTCCCCCCGCCGCCATCCTCTGGGGCTGGGCTGGTCCCCTGACCTCTCATGCCCACCCTGTGACAGCTGCGGCTGAGCGCTGTCCCACTGGCGGTGGGTGTCTGTCTGGCTCCTTTTGCTGACAGATCCCAGGATGTGTGTCTGGCACTCAGGCTCCATGCACCGAGACAGGCTGCACCATTTGGCGAGCAACTCTTCTTCTTTACCTGAAGCCGAACAGGTACATGTGAGGTGGAACCCACAGGCGTGGGCTTCCTGCCAGGTATCAGGGCGGGGCCGGCACCGGCCAGCTATGGGCTCTGCCTGCTGCACTGTGACTTGGCTGAATCTCCAGTTTTCACAAATGCACGGGCACAGCTGGAGCCAGGTACAAGCAGCATTGAGGAACTTGAGCCCAAGAGCAGACTGAGCCTGTGGGTGCTCTGGTCTCTGTGTGACCCCTGTTGAGCCCAGGACACACGAAGGGTGACACTTAGTTAGGTTCCCATCCCGCATGTTGGGTGTCTGGGTATCCAGGGGTCAAAATAAAACAGGGCCAGAAGCTTGCAAACCGAAGTACAATGGCAAGGTAAGACAACAAGAGTGTTCGCAGAGCCCACCTGTAAGAGAGGCCCTGTTGGGCAGCGAATGAACAGCACCAGGGCCAAACCCTTCCCTGACCATGCCGGCGAGCGGAGCCATCACCTGGGGGTTAAAGTGCGCTGCCTGGGCAGGGGTTATCCTGGTAATTTACTGAGCAATGCCCAGTGCACATGCTCGGGCAGGCAGGACTGAGAAGCCGTGGGGTTTGGAGACACGCGGCTTAACACCGTGAGCTGTTCTTACTTCGGGCACCTCGGAGGCCTGGATGCTGGTAGGGGTGGCCAGACCAGAGGGCTCTTCTGGATGCTCGGGCCACCTAGACCAGGGGGCTCCTGGTGTACACTGCAGGGATGGCGGTGGACATAAGAAAGATAATTAAAAAGACCTCGGATTTTCTTTTCATCTTGACAGTGGCCCCTTTGGGTCCCATTTACCTGCACAGGTCCACCATAACACCTCGATGGACATCAGGGGCAACGTCCAGGGCCTGGGGAAAGGTGAGGTACCACGAGGGCGGCAGAGCCGGGGTGTGGAACGAGGGAGGGGCTTCGGCACCATGCGTGGCCACCGGCATTGGCTCACAGGAGAGGAACTCGTTCCAAGGTGAGGATCAGCATCCAGGCCCTGGTGGACTCAGAGAAGTCAGCCTGGAGCCAGAAGCAGGAAAGATCCAAAGAAATGCCTGAGCGGCAGAAGTGTTTTAAGAAGAGATCAGTCCATACAGCCAGCATCTCTGCATCTGCCACGTAGCCGTAAGGTTACGAAAGGGTAACAGTGGCTTTTTGGGTGGGGCAGGTGGGGTAGAGTGCAGGGCCCTTTCCTGTGTGTCCTTTAGTAGGAGCTGGTTTCTGAAGCACATCAATGGCTATCCTATTTAGAAAATTAAATGAAAAACTCTAGAGGGTAATGTATCATTTGCAATAGTAAATAAGCAAAGCTGGCTGGGCATCGTGGCACATGCCTATCAACCCAGAACACTAGGAGGCTGAGGCAGGAGGATTGAAGTTTTGAGCCTGGGCAACTTAGTGACTTAGTGAGACCCTTTCAATAAAAATCAAAAATATGGGGCCAGGGATTTAGCTTGGTGGTTCTGCCACCTGCCTCAAAAGCGTTTGATCCCCAGTACCAAAACATAAAAGATAAAAAAGGGCTGGCAATGTAGCTCAGTGTAAAGGCCCTTGGTTCAATCCCCAGGACCGAGAGAGAGAGAGAGAGAGAGAGAGAGAGAGAGAGAGAAGAGAGGCAAGAGGCAGGCAGGAGGCCTGGCCCCCTTGGGCTGTCTGCATTTAGACATGTGCTCAGCAGGTCCCTCTTGGCCACCCACCTGCTCCACACTGTGCCGCGGGTCCGGCTGGGCAATCATCAGCAGCAACTCTTCCCCTCCCGTCCTGTCTCCATGAGGCAGTGCTGAGTGCATGCCCTCTTGAAAGGAGTTAGAGGCTATAGGGGAAGGGACCTGACCACACTCCCCTGTCAAGGCCAGAGCCAGAATGGCCTGGGGGAGGCCTGGCTCCGGCCGCCCCACCTCTCTCCCTGCCCAGGACTTCGCAGGCCTTGCCAGCCCCACCACTGTCTCTCTCTTGCCAGCTCCCAGGTCACCGAGGGTCCTGCTTGGTCCCCACGGTCACGAGCCAGCACTTCTCACATGTCAAGCATTTTTGTGGAGTGTCACCCAAATCACTGGTGACAGTTGTTCAGTGTTTCCTGCCAGGCGGCTGCCTGGGTCCAGGGGCCCAGGGCTGGGTCTGGCTTTGCCCCTGTGCGCTACCTCCCACCCATGGCCCAGAGCAAAGTCACCACTTGTTGATGGACTGACAAACCAGCCGACCCACTGATTTGCTCCGTACTGGGTGGAAAGAATGGCCCACACTCTTCGATCCACGCTCTTGAACTGGCTTCACAGATGGCCTCTCAAGTGTCTTGATCCCGGGGTGGGGGAGGGTCCAGGCCCAGGCTCTCCCGTGGTCAACGTTATGCAGGCCCTGGCTGCTGCCAGTCCGAGTGTGAATCAGCACCCATGTCAGCCCTGGGTCCTCGAGTGGGAGCTGATGCCGGCAGGGCAGTGACGTTGCTGACAGGGGTGCTTGTCCCTGCTTCCGTGGGGACACCTCAGTCTTGGTCGGGAGAGCTGGGTCCAGCAGGAGCGTTCGGAAGGATTGGAAGGACACCTTATGTGTCCACATAGCCATGTGCACACTGTGGCTCTGGAGAGCTGCTCCCGCCACACTGGGCTGGGCCCACACCGGAGCCCTGGCTTCTGGTCACCCAAGTGCGCTGCTTGGACACGGGCTACCCTCTGGCCTTAGCTGGACCTCTGGGTTCAGGTGGCTATGCTATCCTCTCTCCTCGGCTGAGGGGCCCAACTGGACAGCCTCCAAGTCCCCCTCCCTGCTCCAGGTCTTGAGTCTCGCCC